TATAATGCATCTATTGGTGGGTCCACAGCTCCATCTCTAACATCGTACTCGTACGTAGTTGACCATTAGCTAGAGCATAGTAGATATTACTAGTAATTCTATTACTATCTCTCTATTTTAACTTGGATAGACATTCTTAAGACCAGAACTATATGGTTATTGGTTAACATGGGGGTATATTCAAATTCAACACGTACCCATGCATGACGTAAAGGCCGTACACGGTACACAGGTGACACCTGCATACTACCTGCTCGCCCGTTCTCGCGAAATCCGACCAGTTGATGAGTTTGTCTCAATGTAACTATGCATGCAGCTATCATTAACTATGCATGCAGCTATCATTAAGGAGTTTGTATTGGATGGGGATTATTATAGGCAACATATGTACGAAACATACGCCGTTCAGGTTGAGTTGATGATATACGTTGACTCTCTTTTTAATCCGAATGATACAATTATTTGTGTAACAAATTTTAAATCTAATGATACTTTTTTTTTGAACGAGTAATGAACTAATAACTCAAATAATGATCGCTAGGTGATGAGGACCCTAGCTAATTGTGCTGCAGTGTTTGTAAGCGACCAAAAATTGTAGCTTTCCGTGACTGCGTAATGCAAAATTCCTCTTGCAGATGCTCTTGTTGTTGACATTTAGAAAAGGGACACCCCTAAAGAAGAACTATTCCTTTTTGCAGATGCGCCTCACCAACTGGCTCACCAAACTATTTTTTCTTTTTATTTTCTCGTTTTTACATTCTTATTGATGCCCAGGCGCTCACGATGGATTAAGGCCCTGCTTGAATTATAAGACTAACAACTAACTGACTAATTTTTAGTTCATAAGAATGCAAACAGACAGAACGTACAATTATTAGCTGCTATCTCTGAACTAATGGACTAACAACTAGTACAATTGTTAGTCCATTAGTTCAGAGATAGGAGCTAATAATAGAACTGGTTGTTAGTCCTAATTTATCTAAACATGTCCTACATTATTCTCGGACATGAAACCTAACATTTCTCCTTTATCAATTTTCACTATATCTGTGTCGTTCAACCTTGCGGATATACACATAACGTAGAAACATCAAACTAGCACCCTCTGTCACAAAAAACATATCATTTAAGAAGAGATTTGGTCAAAAGAAAAATCAATAACTTTTAAGTTATTTTTCAAATTAATGTTAATTAAGTTTGAAGATTTACAATCAAATATACTTGCAAAATCTCACAAATTTGAAGAATATTTTTAACAATATATTCTAGAATAGATATTAGTGTGATTGTACCAAAGACTGTGCAAAGTCAAATATGAAAAGTATTCGTTTACTAGAGGAATAGCGACAGGCATAGTAATCACCATACTTTGGAGCTTTGTGATACTTAACGTAAGACTCACTAGCTAGTCGCCAAATTAAGTGCACTTCACTTTCACTCCTTTTGCTTTCTCTGCATTAGTATTTGACACGTACACTCAGGGTGTGTTTTCAAGGAATTATTATCATTAAAGAAAGCAAAAAATGCAGTTTATTACCAGCATAAAACTTAACATCATTTAGCTAACTGTTTACAAGTTGACACTCCAAAAGCACCACCGCCCTTCACTTTTGTTTCAAAAGACAACAAAGAGATATTTTTAAGTATGTTGAGTTACCATGCACCATTGGGTTGAGCCGAAAAAGTGTAAGACGATAGACCTCTCAACACAGTGAAACAGAGAAAAGATGTCTCCACTAGGTACAACCTTTCTTCTATTGTCTTTTGCTTGATTCAGTTTGACCAGGGTGAAGCTAGATAGCTTATATATAGCCCAATATAGGTTCTGTTCTGATTCATTAGCTGCTAATAATTAGCTAACTAATACTCATAGCTACTATTAGCTAGCTAACTATCAGATATTATTAGCTGGCTAAGATAGTTGTTAGTTGATCATTAGCTAACAACTAGCTTGACTATTCGCTGGACTGTTTGGATCGAAAAGAGTTATTTTCTTCGTTTTAAATTATAAGATGCTTTGTCTTTTCTAGATACATTATTTTTACTATGTATCTACACACAAAGCTACATATCTAGAAAAATTAAAACGTCTTATAATTTTGATTAGAAGAAGTAATTATCAGCAGTTAACTATTAGCTTCAGATCCAAACAGGGCCATACTCACCGTGTCAAAAAGGAGAATCAGCTAGATGAAGAGAGGAATACTCATCCTATCATCAACTATCAACCCACCAAGAAAGCATATATGGTGGCCTGGTGGAGCATGCATCACAACACCTGCAGAGAATAACGTCCACTGACACTCTCATGCCATCGTTCTCACTTATTCAGAGAAGCCATTCAGGCTATCCATGACTCGTGGGCTACGGCGTCGATCCTCTTGCCTAGGTTAGGCCATGGCCATCCATTCCTTTCAGGTGCTCTCACTGTGCCATGCCTCCTTTTTCAAATGAAAGGAGGGCACAAGCGTCACTTTCTGCAACAAGTTCGTATGGATAAACATACCACATACTACATGCATACATACAGCCTAACCTGGTGATGTAGGCTATGAGCCGTGACGTAGCCGCAGTGCCTGCACCTGCACTAGCCGCCGCGCTCACTGAGTCACCGTTCAGTTCAGCAGCTGCCTCGGATGCTGCTTCCTGCTGGCCCTGACGCCAATCTTTGCATATTCAGAACTAACCTGAATGAAAGCAAGAAAAGGCATCCAGAGTCAGGGCTTGCAAACATGAAGAAGTAATCCTATGTTCGATACTTCAACTGTACTAGTGCGGAGTAGTAGTAGTCTCGAATATTAAGAGAACTAGAGGATTTCTACGGAAAAATATTTATTTTTGTTCAATGGCTTGTGTCTTTACATGCGGTGGTGAATCGCGCGCAATTATTGTAAATAAAAACATTTTTTGATTTGCCGGTGACGAGAAAAGGTCACAGGAATTAGTTCCCGGGCATAATTCCCTGCATTATTACTTAACAAAATCATCGCATTGCATTCCAATTCCCTTGCATAATTGCAGTGCCTTTTGTTCGACCTGAAGAATATAGGCCATGTTCGTTTTGTTGAAAAGCATGACTGAAAATAATATTTATTAATTTATTGTGAGAGAAAAATATTGTTCGTTCGTTGAAGCGAACGGGACATAGTATGGACCACAACAGACACGGGGAAATTCCTACAGCCTAAGCTACCAGCATGTTTCAGGGCCAGACACCGACCAAGCTTTCATATGTAGGCCTCCCTGAAGGGACCAGATGGTGGCAGATGTGACTGTTTCATCCGAAATAGTCCTTTTTAATGCTCTGAAAAAAATGAACTTTTGTAGGCAAAATAATACTGAAAATCTCTAGAAAAGGACACCCATGCTTAGCTAGCATGGATGGGGAAAGTTCTAGTAGGTATGTATAAATGATCTCTTGTATAAGTACTTTGCATCTAGTTACTGGCAGGTACACGTTGTGCTTAATATTTATTTTTATTCTTTGCTACCAAGAGTATAAAATATAGTAAAGATAATAAGATATGGTAGTATTGAAAAAAGTTGGCTCAGGTTGTACATCGTTGAACTTAAAAAATGGCACCCCACTAACTGACTATTGGCTGTTGTCTAGAGTACTAGAAGTCCAGATACTACAGAAAATTCCCAGAGCATATAGAAATCAACAATGTCAAACCACAATTTTTTGATATTCCAAGTTGCAAGAGAGCAAACAACTGCCATACCGTACCAAGGCTACTAACTGACAAGATGAAACTGAAACGAAATACTAGTTTAACCGAGGAGAGACGATGACAAATCTGGATCCTCAGATCACCAGGTAGATTAGGACCTGATTAATCAAATAATTTATGGAGCAGAATCAATGCCATTAAAAAACTATTTTTTTGTACCAGATTGATGGCTGACAGTGACTTGCCATGTCATGATGCCAACATCAGCGCTCCTCGTGGCTTGTAGGGCTTGTTTAATTTTAGGCGTAAAGTTTTAGGTATTATTTGGTGTTATATGGGATGTTTGGATATTAATAAAAAAATAAATTACAGAATCTATCGATAATTCGTGAGACGAATTTATTAAGTTTAATTAATTCGTTATTAGCATATGTGTAATCGTAGTACCATATTATTAAATCATAGACTAATTAGGTTTAAAAGATCCGTCTCGTAAATTAGTCATAAACTATATAATTAATTATTTTTTAATCTATATTTAATACTTTTATAGGTGTCAATCGTCAGATGGGATAGGAAATAAACTCAAGAAGTTAGCTGCAAGAAGCGCAAAACTTCTCCTTTGCTCTCTCTCTCTCTCATCTTCTTCCTCCGTTCTTCTCCTTGTCTGTAAGTAGTGGCAAACTTGCTAGTGGCAAACTTGCAATCATTCATAACGGAAGGCAGGAGTTCTTTGTCATAATTCTGGACCGAATTCGTGGGTGGGCGCCCCACCTGCCTGCCTGCCTCCGCTGCTCGCAGTGCCTAGACATCTGCTGCTCCTGCTCCTGGCTCCTGGCAGTATTTCTTGCCTTCTTTTGCTCCGCTCGGTTGGGTATTGCTGCTGCTGCTTCCTCCAGTCTCCACCTCAACTCCTCGTCTTCCTCCTACTCGCGCAGCTCTCGTGCTTCGCCCGTTCGGGGACGGTCGTGGCGCCAGCGGCGTCAAAATTCGATTTCCGGTGAGCTTTTCGGAGGAAAGGTTGGTTTTTTTTTGTTGGGATTACTCGTGGCTAGAGCAAACAGTGGCCCATTTCTGCTTCTTGATTTCGGTCCGTGCTGTGAGGTTCGTGTGATTTGTCGCGCTTCACTGTCGGACCGAGGATTCCATTTTCGTTTCTTGGCTTGGTGCTTGCAAACACCAAGAATCGAATGCATGGACCGGTGCCGATGACGAGATTCGAGTCTGGATTTTGAGTGTGGGATCAAGCACCTGTGGAGTCTGAATACCGGTTCCTAGCACACGATTTCACATTCGAGGAACTGTCACTGAGGGGAAAAGAGGTCAATGGCATCGCAGTCAGAAAGTGAGCTGACAAACCGGGGAAGCATGTGGGAGCTAGATCAGAACCTTGATCAACCCATGGATGAGGAGGCGGGCAGGCTGAAGAATATGTACAGAGAAAAGGTCTGGCATTTCTCTCTTTTCAGTCTTTTTCATGTTGATTTTGTTTTTGTTGCCAAGACGGCAAGACTTGAATTTTTCCTCAATACTTGCAGTCTTGCAGACTTGCAGTAGATGTAACTTTAGTGTCTTCATGCACAATCCATCTCATTGTGCATGTGCAGTCCGTTCTCTGAAAACATCTAGATTCTGGAATAAATGCACCATTTCAACACCACTGCATTTTTTACTGCACAACATGTATTCTTTCCAACTGTAGAGGATGATTGAAGAAACTTGGTTCGACTCCTGGGATCATATTACCATCTTTCCTAAGGAGCCCTTTTGTTTTAAACAAGTCTATGATTCATTCTACCTCCAATGAAATCACTACGAGAAGAATCTCTGGTCCGAGGAAGAAGAATCCTAGCTTTTGATTTAAGTAAATAGGCTGCTAAATCAAGAATTCTGTTGACTTTTGTTTCCTTTCATGCAGAAGTTCTCATCAGCTTTGTTACTACGGCTGGCATTTCAGAGCCTTGGAGTGGTCTTTGGTGACTTGGGCACGTCACCTTTATATGTGTTCTATAATATATTTCCTCGTGGAATAGGTGAGGGTGAGGATGAGGATGTTATTGGAGCTCTTTCCTTGATTATTTACACCCTCACTCTCATACCACTTCTGAAGTATGTATTTGTTGTCTTGAGGGCAAATGACAATGGTCAAGGTAAGATGCTTGATCCTCACAGTCCTATTTTGTTTGAAAGGACGGCAAGAGTTTTGTGAAAAGTTAAGTTTCATTAGATGAGACGAAAAGAAAAAATACTAAGAACAAAGTACAAAAAACACTTTTTCCAATAGCACCTTCACTGCAGACAGACAACAATGTGCAACTAAGTTTTTATTTAAAGGAAATTTCTAACCAACCCCTTAAGATCTGCATGCCTTAAAAAGTGAATTACTACCAGCAATACTTCTCAAAGAACTAAATTTGTACACATTAGAAAATAGAGATTTTACGGTACTTGGGAATTATGATAGCACATCAACTTTGACATATCACACCTCTTGAATTTGTTAGAAGAATACCTTTCTTTTCTTCAGAGATGCCAGGGTGCTAAAGTGCATTTCTATAATGATTAAACTTTTGACCTGAGAGATTTTGCTGCTGCTCAGTGTTTGCATAGCGTGTGACTCCTAAGGTGACAACATGTTGCACTTTCTTGCAGGTGGTACATTTGCTCTTTATTCCCTATTATGCCGTCATGCAAAGATCAACACCATACCTAATCAACACAGGACCGATGAGGAATTGACGACATATAGTCGGCAAACCTATGAAGAGAATTCAGTTGCAGCAAAAATAAAGAGATGGATAGAGTCACATGCATATAAGAGAAACATTCTTCTTATTCTTGTTTTAATTGGTACTTGTACAGCAATTGGAGATGGAATCCTTACACCTGCTATATCTGGTACTCATGGTCACTTTTTTTTAAGATGCTAAGCATCACATTGTTTTTTGACTAAATCTGATGGTTTTTAGGATGTGACTTATGGTTTTGTGGTTTCTGTAGTTCTTTCTGCATCAGGTGGCATTAAGGTCCAGAATCAGAACATGAGTACCGGTATGTATTTCCCATTTTATATTATTTTTGTGTACTGCAACTTATTGATTTTTTATTCAAAGATATTGTAAGCAAACCAAAGTTTGTTCTTATTGCAACAGTGGAAGGAAATTAGTGTAGTGCATATGACCCAGCGGCACTCCTCAGGTTCTGGTTCGACTCCCCGTGGGAGCGAATTTCAGGTTGAGGTTAAAAAAATCCCCTCGTCCGTCCCCATAACCAAAGCACTAGGGGGCACCGGCCCAATTCTCACTTGGGCGACGGAAAGCCACCGTGTAAGGGTGGGGGCGGGGGTTCGGGGGTTTTCTCAGCCGGGTGAGAAGGTCCTTCTTCTTATTTGTAATGTTGCGGGGGCAGTCTTAACCCCCCCGGTCGAGTTTTTTTTGTTTTTGTTTCTGTTGATGTTTGCATCGCAATCTCATCACACATCAGTCCTTTTCGGTTGTACTACAGCAGTTCCAAAGTCCCAATCTATCTTTTTAATAATTTGACAAGTAAAACTGATATTGCTTTCCTCTGCATCTTGCAGATATTGTTGTGCTTGTCGCTGTGGTCATCTTAATCGGATTATTTAGCATGCAGCACTATGGAACAGATAAAGTGGGATGGCTCTTTGCACCAATAGTTCTCCTCTGGTTCATCCTAATTGGAAGCGTCGGAGCTATAAACATACACAAGTATGATAGCTCTGTGTTAAAAGCATACAACCCAATATATATATACCGGTTTTTCCAACGGAGAAGGAATTCTGACATCTGGACGTCTCTGGGAGGAATCATGCTTAGCATCACGGGTCAGAGTTGGATCGCTTTGTTTTTCTTTTCTTTCTTTTTTTTTTTTGGGGGGGTGGGGGGGTTTAAAATATAGCTTGCTTATGTTTCAGCGCCTCTAGTACATCCAATATCCATTGTAGCATGAAAAACATTCTTTTTCTGTGCAGGAACTGAAGCGTTATTTGCTGATCTCTGTCACTTTCCTGTGTTGGCAATTCAGGTAAAAGCCTTCAGTATCAAGTAGCCATATGCGTATTTAGTTGCGTGTTTGCTAAAGTGAAGGTATATTTGCAGATTGCTTTCACCTTGATTGTGTTTCCATGCCTTCTACTGGCGTACTCAGGGCAGGCTGCCTACATAATTTCCAACAAAACACATGTGGCTGACGCCTTCTACCGATCAATTCCAGGTCCCCCTCATCTACGACATCATACAATCCTATTCACAACTAATTTTAAGGCACAGCTGTCAGTGTGCCACCACACCATGTCTACTAGGTGCACACTGGCATAGTGCATAACGCATTATTGATAGTGCCTATTGTCACTGTGTACTAGTGCTTTTCTGTAATTTGGTGGTGATAGTGATATGTTTGATCATTGCAGATGCCATATACTGGCCAGCCTTTGTCATAGCAACTGCTGCAGCAATTGTTGCAAGTCAAGCCACCATATCCGCAACCTACTCAATCATAAAGCAAGCTCTTGCACTTGGTTGCTTCCCCCGCGTGAAGATAGTCCACACCTCGAAGAAATTCCTTGGGCAGATTTACATCCCTGACATCAACTGGATCCTTCTGGTTCTCTGCATTGCTGTAACCGCTGGATTCAAGAACCAAAGCCAGATAGGAAATGCATATGGTAAGGTTTCCTTTTCCTCCGAGAACCAAAATATATCGTTTTCTCTCTGAAATGAGAACAAACAGGTGGTGCTGAACTTTCATGACATGACCTGCACTGCATAATGCATCAGACAACACTTAACCATCAGCTTTCATATTGAATGAATGAATGAGCAGGTACTGCAGTGGTTATAGTTATGCTAGTTACGACATTCCTGATGGTGCCAATAATGCTGCTGGTATGGAAGAGCCACTGGATCCTCGTGGTCACCTTCATCGTGCTCTCGCTCATGGTGGAGGTTCCCTACTTCGTGGCGTGCATCCTGAAGATCGATCAGGGTGGCTGGGTCCCGCTCGTCGTGGCGACGGCCTTCTTCGTCATCATGTACGTGTGGCATTTCTGCACGGTGAAGCGGTACGAGTTCGAGATGCACAGCAAGGTGTCCATGGCGTGGATCCTGGGGCTGGGCCCGAGCCTGGGCCTGGTGAGGGTCCCGGGGATCGGCTTCGTGTACACGGAGCTGGCGAGCGGCGTGCCGCACATCTTCTCCCACTTCATCACCAACCTCCCCGCGATCCACTCGGTGGTGGTGTTCGTCTGCGTCAAGTACCTCCCCGTGTACACGGTGCCGACGGAGGAGCGGTTCCTGGTGCGGAGGATCGGGCCCAAGAACTTCCACATGTTCCGGTGCGTGGCGAGGTACGGCTACAAGGACCTGCACAAGAGGGACGAGGACTTCGAGAGGATGCTGTTCGACTGCGTCCTCTTCTTCGTCCGGCTGGAGAGCATGATGGAGGGCTACTCCGACTCGGACGAGTTCAGCGTGCCGGAGCAGGCGCCCGGCTCCGGCCGCGCGGCGTTCCTGGGCGAGCGGGCCTGCGCGACCATGTGCTCCAACGGGGAGCTGAGCTTCTCATCGCAGGACTCGATCGTGCCCGCCGCGCGGTCGCCCCTGCCGCCGAGGGGGCTGCGGCTGCAGCTGCAGTGCTCAGCGTCGGCGTCGGCGTCGGCGGTGGGGCAGGCCAGCAGCGGCGACACGGTGGGCGACGAGCTGGAGTTCCTGAACCGGTGCAAGGACGCCGGCGTGGTGCACATCCTCGGGAACACCATCGTGCGCGCGCGGCGGGACTCGGGCGTCGTGAAGAAGCTCGCCGTCGACTACATGTACGCCTTCATGAGGAGGGTGTGCAGGGAGAACAGCGTCATCTTCAACGTGCCCCATGAGAGTCTGCTCAATGTCGGGCAGATATACTATATCTGAATATCTGATGAGAGGGAGAGACTTCTCAGATCAAATCCTTGTAGTATTTTTTTGTTCCCGGGTAGGATGGACATTATTGTCTTGGATCTTGTACGTACAGAATAAAGCGTTTGGGACACGGACTGCGACGGCGACAGCACGAGCACGTGCTCCGTCGAATGAAGTTACATCCGGGGCTTTACAGTTACACGTGTGCCTGCGACTCGTCGGTGGCGCCGGTTGTCCTCCAGCAGCGCCCGCCGCCTCAGTACGTCCAGCGCACGGGCGCATGGGCAGACCGGACGTCGTCGAGTGGCGAGGGTGCGGGCGGAGAATGCGGCCAGACAGACTCCGAGCACGAGGACGAGGACGGAGGGTGGAGAGCGACTGGGGGTGCCGCTTCACCACTCGCTGCGGATCTCCGGCAAATCCACGTCGCCTTCGACATCGACGACGACGGCGGACGGGGAAAGTCATGTACATGAGAGGTACCAAACAGAGGGGAGGAGGGCATGGGGCAGGGTACACACCGAGGGCAAACCGAAGTCGCAGAGCGCTCGGAGGCTCGTTGGCCCATCTTCTTGGGCCGTCAGCCGTCATCGAGCGGCGAGTCCGACGGTGGTGTAGCGGTGTAGGTGTGTAGGCTGTGCGCGCTTGCGCCGGCGGCACGATCAGTCGGGCCGGGCAAAATGGGAGTCCGTTTACAATACTGCGCTATCTGCTGACCTGTTACGGGCTTTTTTGGTTAGTTAGCTCTAATCGAGAATTGGAAGAGGATTGTAGGGGATTTTATCTCCTACAAGCCAAAAATATTTCTCAATCCTCTAGGATTAGAGATTAACCGAACAAATCTTACATAATTTTTTTTTCGAACCAAGACACCTATGGGACCGTTGGCTTCAAAAGTTTAGTGAGATGCTATTGTATGCACATAGCGTGAGACCGAATGTGAGAGAGATTAAAGCTAGCCGCGAGCGAGCAAGCTCCACCCTAGCGAACTAGCATAGAGATAGGGGCTACGCCTAGCGTGGTGGGTGTGGTGGCAGGATGGGGCGAGGAGGTGAACAAGGTGGGCAGGCATGGGGACGGTGGTGGATGGGTTGGGGGATCCGAAACGGTTACAAAACACCTTGAGGAGGAAGGATAGACGCAAAGAAGAATATGAAAGAAACTGACATATGGACCCCACCGGTGAGTCGGTGACTGTCTAATGGATAGAGAATAGTGACTATATATTATTCCTTTAAAGCAAACATAGAATATGAATATATTCTTATCCTCTCGACCAAACACAGAGATAAAAACCATCTAAATCTTAAACCAAATATAGCCTAAGTTGACCCTATTATTACTGAGAACCCATTAAGCCGACTCTCTGTTGTTAGCAAGACGCTTTTGATCTACCGAAATTTCGACATTTTACTACGTGTATAATAAAAATTTTGATATACCCTTTTGGTCACATTTAGATTTAGATCCCATTTGCTTGGCTGGAGACCAACTTTCTTAGAGTTTCTTTCTTTTGGAACGCAGAAATTTTCCATGGATTATGTTAAAAAATTTCATGAAATTAGTTTATTTTTAAGGAAAAAAATTATAAATAGAAAAAGTCCCCGCATTCCGAAAGCGTAGAAGACCTATTTGTTCTAACGCTTCGGCTGGGGTGAAACGATTGTAAGTTTCCAGTCAAAACAGTATTTTTTTCTTATTAAAATAAATCGGCAGTTATTCACGAACCGGCTAGAACCAGCGCAGCCAAACCAACAGGCTATTTGAAGGCAGCCGTTCTTTCCTGTACCCTGCACCTGCCTTTTCTCCCGTTTCCCCTCGGTGCGCCGCCGCCACGCCCAGCAGACAGCGCAGCTATGCCGCTCCGCCTGCTCTCGTCCCCGGCCGCCGCCGCCAAGCTCGCCGCAGGCCTGCGCGCGGCGCCTCTCCGCCGCTGCCACAGCTTCGCCCGGCCGCCGCGACACACGGTACTCCGCGCTGCCGCCCTTGCTGCTACTTCCCTGCTTGCTTTCTTCCCTCCCCCGTTGCTCGCTTCGGGATTTTAACAACTTTCTAGTGAGCGTTCTGCTGGTTTCCTGCAGGACCGCGTGGCCCTGGCGTCGTCCCTCTCGGTGGCGGTGCGGTCTGCCAGCCCCGCCGTGGCAGCGGCGCAGACCGAGCTCAGCGGTAAGCAAAGCATTTATTTTCTTTGTTCATGTACTCTCCTGTTTGTCGTAGAGCTGTATGGGTAAAAGATTGCCTTTTGTGTAGCGTGATTGAATAAATCTTATGGGGATGAAGTCGCTTATCTCTAATATCCTAGATTGGATGCTTTCAGTCACAACTAATTTCACTTTTCTGGCAATTGAATTCATTAAGGGATCAGTTATGTTTATGAATATATCTATGCTCTAATTGCCCACAAATTGTGCGTGTTTTCTTTGATCCCCGTTATTTGCTAACTCACTATAACTCACTATGGGAGACTTAATTTGGGTTTATTAACTAATGGCGATATCCTACAGTTTCAGGAAAGAAACAAGTATTGATATCTCTTTCGAACAAAACAGACTTGGCTTATCTTGGCAACGGTCTTCAGGGCTTGGGGTAAGAAGCATCACGTGTTTCCTGAATTTTTTCGCCAGGGTATTTTAGGTATACCTTGGATAAATTCCTACTTGTAGATGATATATGTTACCCATGTAATAGTACTTTAAAAAAAAGGTGCAAGCTCGAGGGTAAAATTCTAACTCAGCAATGAAGTACTCCTATCTCATAAACAATGTTTTGTCCCCATAGGTATTCCATCGTCTCCACTGGTGGAACAGCATCCAGCCTGGAAGCCGCAGGAGTCAGTGTAACAAAAGTTGAAGAAATCACACATTTCCCTGAAATGGTATGAACACCTACAAAATGTGGTAATGAACATGATTCTTTGCTCGTGTTCACATATTGTTTGCTTGTCTTGTTAGTTCAGCTTGATGGACGAGTGAAAACATTGCACCCAAGTGTACATGGTGGTATTCTTGCCAGGAGAGACCAGGAGCATCATTTGAAGGCACTAAAGGATCATGGAATTGGTGAAGTTTATTATTCCACTATTTAACATTGCTTATGACTTTTAATTGTCACATAACAAGGTTCAATCTTTCTGCTAACTTTGTAAGCCTACAAACTGTATATGAACTAAAAACTCTTTTCTTGGGGCACAGGGACATTTGATGTGGTTGTGGTTAATTTGTATCCCTTTTATGACAAAGTCACCTCTGGTAACATCTCTTTTGAGGATGGCATTGAAACTATTGATATTGGTGGGCCCACAATGATCAGAGCTGCAGCCAAGGTAACTATTTCTGGTCTTGGGACCATTTACCATGCAACTCTTACTACATGATTGCAGCTTTATTTTTGCATTTGGGACATAAACTGGTTGGCATACTTTAACTATGGATGACTCTGTTAAATTTATTGCTCTATGTTTTGACAGAACCATAAGGATGTTCTTATTGTGGTGGATCATAATGATTATCCTGCTTTACTGGAGTACCTTAAAGGAAATCAAGAGGATCAGCAGTTCCGCAGGATGTTGGCATGGAAAGCTTTCCAGCATGTCGCCTCTTACGATTCTGTTGTGTCAGAATGGTTCTGGAAGCAATCGAATAAAGGTACTGCTTCAGTAACAGGCTGAATAATTGAATTCATTATTGTAAATAGCTGGCTATTGGATTTAGTGGCAGCCTTCTCAAAACGCTGATAGTGTCGCTATAGTCTGCTATTTCCTGGTATAGCCTGCTATTTCCTCACTAGTGGTTACTACACGGATTGAATTTTTTATGTGGCTATTTGACTGCATGCATGTTATGTTTCGGTAGGAGAGATGTTTCCCCCAAGCTTTACTGTGCCACTTGAGCTGAAGTCTACACTCCGGTATGGCGAAAATCCTCATCAGAGTGCTGCGTTCTATACTGACAAGAGCCTTGCTCGTGTCGGTGCTGGTGGCATTGGCAATCTTATTCAACACCATGGAAAGGTAAGATTTGTATGGCTAGCTTCAGTTATTCAAGCAGCTAAGCAGTTGTAATACATTTAGAATAGCTAGGATGGTACAAAACTTAACAGACCCTAACTTGCTAGATACACTGCTTAGTCGTCCAGTTACATACAATTGAACTGTAATGTGTATTCTAAAAATCCTGTTATATTGTATAACCTACTACATATCTTGAAGAAGCTTTGAATAAATAATATTCTTTTGCAGGAAATGTCTTACAACAACTACTTGGATGCGGATGCTGCGTGGAACTGCGTATCAGAGTTTGATAGTCCTACTTGTGTTGTGGTGAAGCACACAAATCCATGTGGCGTTGCTTCACGACAGGACATTCTTGAAGCTTACAGGTTAGCTGTAAAGGGAGATGCTGTCAGTGCATTTGGTGGGATAGTTGCATTCAACACGATAATTGACGAGGTATTCAGCATACTGCATCTTACTAACTCACTACTAATATCATTGGCCACTTCTATTTATATATGCTGCTATATGTTTAGGATCTTGCGAAGGAAATTCGTGAGTTCAGGAGTCCTACAGATGGTCAGACACGGATGTTCTATGAGATAGTGGTTGCTCCTGGCTATACAGACAAGGGTCTTGAGATTCTCCGAGGCAAGTCAAAGACGCTGAGAATACTCGAGGCGAAGAGAAGTGGAAAAGGGATGCTTTCACTTAGGCAGGTGAGTGGTGGGTGGTTGGCTCAGGAGTCTGATGATCTAACCCCTGAAAAGATCACCTTTACCACAAAGTCTGAGAGGTCTCCGCAAGAAAACGAGCTTGCCGATGCCAAATTTGCCTGGCTTTGCGCAAAACATGTCAAGAGCAATGCCATCGTGATAGCCAAGGTTTGTGATTTCCTCTCTGTTACAACAACAACAACAATTATCAAAGTAAATTTGCAAGCTAATATGCACCACTTGTTTGATCACTGAAGCCACTAAATGGCCCCCACCTGATACTGTGTCTGTAGAACAACTGCATG